ATTAAAATTTCTGTTAGCTAATCTAATCCATCTGTAATTTTTTGCGTTGTACTCATCGTCAACGATTTTTTGCACTTTCTCTAGATAGCGTTTAATTTCGCAGAAAAGTCTTTCCCCTTCTTGACTGTTTTCATAATCCATTCCTATATCATTGTCATTATGAATGGAAACGGAGCCTATTCGAATTATCGTTATATATTATTATTTTTAATATTAATAATAATATGATTATTAAAACAGAGCAAAAAATATAAATAACGCAAAATCAACTTACTTTCAAAATGATTATTATTATTTTCAGAAGGCAACGGTAAGTTATTTTCGTGCAAAATTGGATGCCGCAAGAAAGGATAAACTTCTTGACGAATTAAGGTCTTGAAGAAATTGGAATTGGATGTTACAACAGAAGCACTATTGACTAAGTGATAACACATAGGCCATCGATTTATTAAAAATGCCCGACAACTGCACACCCATCTTTCTGTATCAGTGACATGGAAATTAGACGTTTGTCTCTCATGTCTCATTAGTTTTTTCCAATCTTTTTTGAAATCTTTTCTCCAAGAGACAGTTTCTCGGCCTGTTGCAATTTGGGAATATCGTCTCTGATAATGTGGGAGCAGACGATTAATAATAACAAATACCACCAAGTCAAGGCGCGGCCGAAAAAATTTAGGCAAATAATCTCTTTTTATCACTTTCCAGTGAGCTTCAACCAACATCGTCGTTCTGTATAATCCTATTTTTTCTGGATTTCCTGCTCTGGCCCATAATATCCAAATATTTTTTTGATACCAATTTGTCCACATATAGGCCCAGACATTTTTAAGATCCTTCTGATGACAAAATTCATACATTTCTCGTACTGAATAAAGCCAGATATCTCCAGCTGATAAAAACTGATTTTGGTCATTCGGTACCAACGGATGAAGGTGAAAGTGATAGACAATCATCTCCAGGATTTCTTCACGAAACTCTTTCGGACAGAATCGTTGGTCACTATTAATCCTTGAACGAATACCCGTACCTTCGTCTCTAAGAAATGGATGAAAGTTTGCATCGATAAAGTTGGTCTCTGTTTGAGCAAGCTCAGAATTGTAATAATTTGTTTTGGGAATCGAGTTGTCTGCCAGTCTTTTTTTGATTGCCTTTTTTAAATGCCAAAGACAGAGCTGGACTTTTGTTGAGGGCCAAACATTATGTGCTGCATGAATCTGCGACCAATCTTTATCTGTGAGAAAGAATTCCGGACTTCTTAATTCCTTGCGCCGTAATGTGTTAAAAAATTCAGTAAGGATTTCTGTTCGAACCCCGTCTTCTTTTTTAGAATTATCTAAAAATAAATACGCAATCGGATATCCAGCTCCATTGGTTTGACTTACAGCGGCATAGAGTTCGAAACCTAATGCATTAGTTTTATCTAATAAAAATATTATTATTAGCAAACTTAACTACTCTATTAAATTAATTTATTTATTCTTTTACTTACAGGTCGCATCAACAATTATTTCATTGTTAGATTTCATTTGATTAAATAGGCTAGTCAAAAAACCTATGTACTTGACACCCGACTCAAAATTGTACATTAAAACGTCGAATTGAGCTTCTTCTAAGAGTATCTTGGCAGACTTTAGCTGATCGTTATCTTTTTTATATGAGCGTTGAATTTGCTGCGTCCACCAATAATGCACCTGTTTTTGAGTCAGGTTTGGACAATCTGCTTCCAGGGTGGCAAAAATGTCCTTTGGTGGTAAATATAATTGTTGAGAGATTGCTGATTTAATTTCATCTGTTACAGCAATTTTTTCAGGGCGTGCGTGAAAAATATCATGTATAAGTTCGAGAGAAATCTTTTTTAAATTCTTATATATTTTGATTTTCAGGAGTCCATTACAGTCAAAGCGGGTAGTGCTTTCACGATCGCGCTGTCTTTCAACTTCTGAAGTTTTTCTCGATTTTTTAGAAAGAACTCGAGATTGAGAGCAATAAAAATAGAACGTAATAGTGTTCTCATCCAAGGTCGATACATATTTTTTATGGAGGCTAAAAATAACTGGTTATACATTTGTACGATACTAGATATAAATATTTCTAAACAAAAAAAAAATTTAATTCTTACTTGTAGGAATATCCATCACAACTCTGAACAAATGTTGCAATGTTTTTCGCTAACGCTTCATCATTTCCCTCGAATTCTTCCATTTTTAGAGCACATTGAAGTTGAATTCCATGAGTATTATTTTCAAAGCATTCATCTTCGTTTTCTGATAGCACAGATTTAATCTTTTCTTTTAATTCAGATTTTTCAAGCTCTTCAAATAAATCTAATTTCGTTTCCCGTCTTTTGCATCATTCGCTGACGAATATTTACGGCATTGATTGCAAGTTTTTCTTGGCTTTCCATCAATAGTTTGAAAAAGAGAAATTTCTTTTGTTTTGTAACAGCGAGAGCAAGTCTTCTTGTCTTCCATTGCTAGATCAGGATTATAGATTCGTTTGATTTTTCTGTTCTGGTTCTGAATTCTTAATTTGTTGCGATATTGATTATTAGTAGGGACTTGCTCTGTCTCTTGGCATGGTGCGCTCCTTGTAGGGTCTGGTTAGTATACATCTGGAGTCTTGGGTTTGACCAAGCTCCTTCTCCATGGTATCTAACGTCCTAGAAACGATTTCTTCCATTACATAGTCTTGGCTTACCTGTATTGAGTCCAACGAGTAAGCGGACATAGACCTGTTCAGTGGTTTGGTTTCCTTTAGTTTCATGTCCGGTACTGTCATTTTTGTATGGCAGCTGCAGACATAGGTGATGAAGCTTTCTCCTTTGGAGTCTTCGAAGACTGCCTTGTATTCACTTCCTATGAAGCATTCTGCTGCTTCGCAGATTGTGGGTGCTTCTTCCTTGCTGGTTTCTTCTGTTTCTGAGCTAAGACTTACCTGTCGCTGGTTTGTTTCAGTTTCAAATGCTGCTGACTGACTTGGGCTTAGTGTCAGGCTGGCTGGCCATATTGTTATATAATAGGGGCTGGGGGGGTGTCAATTAAGACAGTTGTTACCTCCTGCCGTTCTTCCTGGGAGTCGCTTGCGGACTCTTCATCCGAGACCACTTCCTTTATTTCTTTCAGGACCTCAAGACCATTGAAGGTCTCCCTTCCAGCATACTTCCTGCATGCCCTGTATGGGGTGCCTTCCTCTTCTTCAAGACCTTCCAGGTAGTCCATTTCATTCCTTACGAAAACTGTGCAAATAGCCTTCCAGTCACAGGAGTACTGTTCGCACATTTTTGCCACCTCCACAGTTCTTCCTGAGGACTTAGAGAAGAACTCTGTTACTTCTTCCTCGGGTGGGCTTCCTTCTTCCTGAGTATTTTCAGTGCGCAGAGTTTGCGTACTCAGCAGCTTTTTCTTCCTACTTCTGCTACGGCCTCCCATTGCCATAGCTGAGTGTTTCAGTGTTGTTAGCGGTGTTTTTAGAGTGTGTTTGGTTAGTTTTAGTAGTGCGTTTTTTCAAATTTCTCTGTCTGGGTTTTTGCGTTGAAAAAGGGGAGAGAGAAAGATGTGTGTCATCCTGGCAACATGGCCTTCAGCACCCAAGTCTTGTTTGCGCTGCCTGTCTGCCGGACACTCCACCTCCTTGTGCTCAAAGAATGGTCTGAAAGTTGGGGCATCAGCTACCCCCTGACAAATGATCGGCAAGGAGGGACAAACCCAAAAAGGCAAGCAAAAGGGGTCGAATGTTTTGCCGGCCTTCTCGGACAATACCAAGGCCCCTAAGCCTAATAAGGTAACCCCCGCCACAACAGCCACCACCACTCCAGCCACACAAGCTAAAGAAACTGCGGCCATACAAGCCAAAGAAACTGCAGCAGTGCTAAACTACCCCAGGAGGCTGTGGGTAAATGTTGCAGTAACGTGACTCTGTATTACATCTCTGTCCTGTTAAAATCGT